GTAGCCCTAAACCCCAAAAGGGTACCCTTATCTTCTCATAATAAGGTTACTGGGCCATGGGTTTCTTGTAAAGAGCCCCTAAACCCCAAAAGGGTACAGTACCCTTATCTTCTTATAATAAGGTTCCTGGGCTAGAGGTTCTAAAGTAGCCCTAAACCCAAAAAGGGTAACTTTATTATAATTTGCTTACTGGGCAATAGCCTTAAACCCCAACAAGAACCCCTCATCATAATAGGGTTGTTGGGCGTACCCTCATACGGGGTCACAGAGCTATAGGTTCTCTTATAGAGTACCCCTAAACCCCCAAAAGGGTCTCTGGTAAAGTAGCCCTAAACCCCAAACGGGTACTCTTATGGGGACCCATTTTTGTCTGGTCCTTTTTTTGTTTTGGCCCGAATTGTGTTTAAGGGTTTGGGGCTGGCTCTGCTTTTTTACCAGGAAATAGTGAGAAAACCTCACTTTTCTCTGTATCTTAAGAGGAAAACCTTAATTGTCTCTAGGTTTTTAAGCAGACCTCAATTTCTCTATATTTGCATAGGAAAACCTTATTTTTCTGTATATTTTAGTAGCAAAGCCTCAATTTTCTGTATACTTTTCCGTAGGAATACTTTTTTTTTCTCTAATTTGACGTAAGACAAGGGCTTCAGGGTTCAGGGTTCAGGGTTCAGGGTTCAGGGTTCAGGGTTCAGGGTTCAGGGTTCAGGGTTCAGGGTTTAGGGTTTAGGGTTTAGGGTTTAGGGTTTAGGGTTTAGGGTTTAGGGTTTAGGGTTTAGGGTTTAGGCTATTTTCTCATTGTTAGGTTTCTGCTTCTGGCTTGTACTACACGGTGTGTCCCGGCTTCTTGGCTTTTTGGCTCCGCGGCTTCCTGGCTTCGTGGCTTTTTGGTATTTTGGCTTGTTTAGGGTTTAGGGTCTGGGGTTTAGGGTTTAGGGTTTAGGGTTTAGGGTTTGGGGTTATTAGTTATATTAGGGTTTAGGGGTATTAGGGTTATTAGGGTTTAGTGGTTTCTTGGCCTTTTGGCTTTTTGGCTTTTTGGCTTCGCGGCTTCCTCCCTGGCTTCATGTGTTTTTTGGCTTTCTGACTAGAATCTCTGTGTATATGTATTTAACTGGGTTTTGGAGTACTGTGCTTTAATACTTTTTTTGGTTCTGGGTTCCTATTATAGCTACTTATACCTAAAAAGTGTATACTGTTTTTCCAGGGTCTACTCCAAAGGTAGGTTAATTATGTATTTGTATACACTGATTCACATGTGATGTAAATATAGACGAAGCAGAGCCTAAAACGATGTAAGCATAGAGAAAAGAGGAGCAGGTTTGTATAGAAATCTAGAGCAAGCAGGGGTTTGTTTTGACATATAGAGAAAATGGAAGTTGGTTGTCCTGTGTAAATGTACACAAAATAGAGGTTACCCTATTACAAAAGAGAACAAATCATGGTTCTCCTACGTAAAACCAGATAAAATAATGGCGGTTTTCCTCTGGTAATATAGAGAACGCCCCCCGGCCCCTCCCCGCCTAAAACGAAATAATTAGGGCCAAAAAAAGATGTCCACCCTACCCTTATTGCAATAAGCCCTGCTAACTAAACCCTGAACCCTAAGCCCTAAACCCTAAGCCTTAAACCCTAAGCCCTAAACCAAGGAAGGAGATGATCCTTGCGTCCGCGGCGAAGTGAGTTCCGTCGGCGGCGTTTTGCCGAGGCGTCTCGCGAGCTCAGCGGGGTTCAGTGCCGTGCTATGTCAGTTGATGTATGAGGAAGGTACCTAGTGTTTAGGGTTCAGGGTTTAGGGTTTAGGGTTTAGGGTCTAGCCCTTGCACCTGGCAAGCACGAACCTTAGATCTTACAAGCAAGACAAATTCTAAACCCTGAGCCCTACAAACTCCAAGGCCTCAGCACAAAACCCTCAACCCTCAACCACTAAACCCGAAACCCTGAACCCTAAACCCTAAACCCTAAACCCTAAACCCTAAGCCCTCGACGCCTTAGGGCTTCACGTAGACCCCGAGCCCAACATCAGACCGACTGGATGTCGCTGTTTAGGGGCTAGGGCTTAGGGTTTGGGGTTTAGGGTTTAGGGTTTTAGGGTTTTAGGGTTTAGGGTTTAGGGTTTAGGGTTTAGGGTTATTGACACAAGCATCTCAACCCCAGGAGCGACACCGCTCGAACATTTTTTCCCGCGCCACGATGTACAGAGCCCGCTGCTCCCCAGAAATGGGGCCTTGCCCTGGCTGAGTCCGTGCGCAAGTGAGCTCCCCGAAACCTCCCAAGAGCTTACAGAGTTTCGGCGGTTTAGGGTTCAGTTAGGGTTTAGTTAGGGTTTAGGGTTTAGGGTTTAGGGTTTAGGGTTTAGGGTTTAGGGTTTAGGGTTTAGGGTTTAGGGTTTAGGGTTTAGGGTTTAGGGTTTAGGGTTTAGGGTTTAGGGTTTAGGGTTTAGGGTTTAGGGTTTAGGGTTAGGGTTGAGGGTTGAGGGTTTAGGGTCTAGGGTCTAGGGTTTAGGGCCAAAGCCCTAAACCCCAAGCCCAAGAAGTCAGCCCTTCCGTTGAAGTTTCACAAATTCTGCCCTGCCTCTCATCAGGACTAGTTAGGGTTTAGGGTTTAGGGTTTAGGGTTTAGGGTTTAGGGTTTAGGGTTTAGGGTTTTGAGGTTTTCAGGGTTTGTTTATCCCAAGTGAAACATCGTCTAGGATGCCCAGCAGTGCCGACATTCCCTCTTCTTTGAGTTGGATTCCGTTCCCCAGCCGCCTAAGTTCGAAACCCAGGCACACGGTTTTCTTTCAGGCTACCGGGGAAGATAGTTGAGGGTTTAGGGGTTTAGGGGTTAGGGTTTAGGGTTGAGGGTTTAGGGTGAAGGGTTTAAGGGATTGATTTTTGAAAGACTGGAAACTGCGGTCTAGGGACCGATAGGGGTGGACGCTGCTGGATAAACCCTAAACCCTACACCCTAAACCCTAAACCCTACACCCCAAAACCTAAACCCCCCGAACCCCCAAACCCTACCACCCTCAACCACTGCCTAGTGCGCTTGGCACTGAGCAAGGGTCGCTGGCAAGTTGTGTACAGGCCTGCGCGCAAAAGTGCCTGAAGGGTTTAGGGTTTAGGGTTTAGGGTTTAGGGTTTAGGGTTTAGGGTTTAGGGCTTGTAGGCGCTATAGGGGTCATGGGGCTCAGGGTGTTTAGTTTGTTTGTTGGGTTCAGGATTTGGAGCTTTCACCCTTCAGGGTTCTATCAAGGGATTTAGACTGCTAGGGTTTAGGGTTTAGGGCCAGGGTTTACGGTTCTGTACCCCGAAGGTTGTACCCCCTTAATCTTACGCAAGGGGCTATATTGCCTGAAGGATCTTTAAGCAGGGCCCCCCACAAGCCAAGGGTACAACCTGGACGGTCCAAGGTACAGCCCCTAGACTTTGGGGAGAACCTTTTAGAGGGAACATCCCAAGCCCTAAACCCTAAACCCTAAACCCTAAACCCTAAACCCTAAACCCTAAACCCTAAACCCTAAACCCTAAACCCTAAACCCTAAACCCTAAACCCTAAACCCTAAACCCTAAACCCTAAACCCTAAACCCTAAACCCTAAACCCTAAACCCTAAACCCTAAACCCTAAACCCTAAACCCTAAGAGTCCAGGGTCTATAGGGTCTAGGGCTCAGAGTTTCGGGGCTTTCCGGATTCGAGAATTGTGAAGTTGGGGCCTGCCCCAAGCCTGACCTGTGGCATGCAGGTACGTTTAGGATTTAGGGTTTAGGGTTTAGGGTTTAGGGTTCGGGTTTCTAATTTAGGGTTGGGGTTTAGGGTTCAGGGTTTATGGGCTCAGGGCTTAGGGCTTGGGTTTTGGGCTTTCATTTAGGAAGAAAGGGGCGTTGGGTCCCGGCATCCGGACATCCTCACACTAGACGAGGACTACCTTTGGCACTTCGTGTGGCTTCATTGTCAGTCTCCCTCTGCCCCACAGCCCATGAAGATGAGAGCCTCCATCCCAAGCCCCAAACCCTAGACCCTCAACCCTAAACGGTTGCCATGAAGATGAGAGCCTCCATCCCAAGCCCTAAGCCCCAACCCCTCGACCCTAAACCCTGAACGGTTGCCATGAGGATGAGAGCCTCCATCCCAAGCCCTAAGCCCCAAAAAACCCAAAAACCCTAAACCTTAAGCCCTAAACCCTAAGAGCCTGCATCCCCTGACCGGCCTTCTTGCCGCAGTGTTTCGGTTTGGCTCAGTCCCCCTCGGCTCACTTAGCCGTACTGGTCAGAAAGGCGCCGATGCAGCCTGCACTACGCGGAACCTGTTTCCCACCTTTTTGTTTTTTTGTTTGGGGGGGTGGGGGGGGGGGGCTTTGGGAAAATAGGGGACCCCTAGAGTAGACCCCCCAAATTGTAGGAATGGTAGTTGTAATCTGAATATTTGGGTTTACGAAATAGGGGGCCCCTAGCGTAGACCCACCAAAATAGCAGGATTCCCTGAACATTTCTAAGCCCTGAACACAAAACCCTAAACCCAAACGGGGCCGCTTTAAAGTAGATCCCCCAAATTGTAGGATTCCCTGAGAAGAAGGGACCCTAAGAAGGCACCCCCGACTGTCGGAAACCATCATGTTTTCGGGCTTCTGTTCACCGGCCTGGCGGCTCGCGGATGTCCCAAGTATGCATAGGGTTTAGGGTTTAGGGTTTAGGGTTTAGGGTTTAGGGTTTAGGGTTTAGGGCTTAGGGTTTAGGGTTTTAGGGTTTAGGGATTGCACATGGCTTGGTGGATTCGGCTCAGCCGGTGCAACTTGCTTGGCAGCACCTATTAACTTGGCGGCGTATATGCCAATGTCGCTCCTTGTAGCCCTCAACCCCAAGTAGCACATTCCAATCCTACTGGTTCTTCATTGGGTATCGTACCCTATATCCCCTCTAGAAGCCCTGCGTATGGGATTCTAGCAATACCTAGTTCCCTCATTCTGTACCACTAGGCAATCTGCAGTGGCAGAGAAGCGCCCTACAGGCCAACGAGCCTGATCCTATGGCGCAGATGTACGTGGTGAAGCGTGATGGACAGAAGCAGGAGTTGGCCTTGTGAAGCTTTTGACGTAGGGCTTCGAGGGCTTCTCGGCTTTAGGGGCCGTGTCGGGTTTAGGGTTTACAGGGTTATTAGGAACCCTAAGCCCTAAACCTCACCCTAACCCCTAGACCCTAGACCCTAAACCCTTACCCTTAAACCCTAAACCCCAAACCCTAACCCTAAACCATGGTACTGGGGGCTTGGCTTTGGAGTTTAGGGTTTTTGGGCTTGGAGTTTTCGGTCTCAGGGGCTCGCGATGGTGCAGGCTGCCTTGACATCGGGAGCAGTGTTCTGTCCAGCAAAGTGCGGAGGTGGAGTTCAGAGTTTTGAGGCTTAGGGTTTAGGGTTCAGGGTTTAGGGTTCAGGGTTTAGGGTTCAGGGATACCTCTTTCAGATCCGCCGTAATTTCAAAAGACTTGGTCCCCCCCCTTTTTTCAATCAGGAGGTGAAGTTCGACGCCATCACGCGCCGCATCCGGCGTCTTTGTGACGGCCTGGACTCTCGCTTCGTCGACCCAGTGGTTGTTACGAGGAAAGTGGTCGAAGGCTTCCTTCCTGGTTCTTATCAGGGAATGAGGGAAGGAGGGCCCTTTAGGGTTTAGGGTTTAGGGTCTAGGGTTTAGGGTTTAGGGTTTTACCCTTTAAGGGATTATAGGGCCCTGCGTCCCTCATTCCCTACTAAGAACTAGCCAGGCTTTTACAGCGGCATCTCTACTTCGGAGGTGGATGTCCTTGCGGCCGAGACATGCGCGTAGCTGCGACGAACTGTGTTGGGTGGTTTAGGGTTTAGGGTTTAGGGTTTAGGGTTTAGGGTTTAGGGTTTAGGGTTTAGGGTCTGGGCGTTCCTAGCGAAGCCATTGAGTTGATATTATACCTTCCACTGCCTATCAGACTGCCTTGGCCGAGGTACATGTCCCAGAAGCATCCAGACTTTTCGACGCTGGCAGCACGCATTGCGGTGTCGAACCTCCACAAGAACACATCGGAGTCCTTCTATGAGACTGGTCAGCTATTCATGAAACTTGGGTGGTTCCTTATACTCACAGTCCTTGATCGGGATCATACTATCCCCTATTTTCCCTATTAAGGACTGTTGTATAAGGGGGAAACATCCCAACATGAAACCGTGGATGGCTTCTTGTGGACCGTTTCTTCAAGTGCCAAATTGTGGAGAACATTGCAACGTGCTGGCCCTTCGTGTCAGATCACGTCCCAAGTTGCTGGCTCTGTAACCCACCCCCAATTTGCCCTTGCCTGACAGAGCTAACCTGTCCTCATTTCTAAAGTTCTAGGGTTTAGGGTTTAGGTTGTGTCGTGGCCAGGGGCAGTGGCCCGAGCTGTTGGCGCTTCTTGCTTCTGGCTTTGTTGTGAGGTCCGACGCCATAGGGTTTAGGGTTTAGGGTTTAGGTTTAGGGTTTAGGGTTTCGGGTTTCGGGTTTAGGGTTTAGGGTCCGTCCCTTCGTCAAAGCCAAGGAGACGTGCAAGGTCCTCCACGAATATGTGGACATGCAGGGTCGACCAGCCTCGCTGATGGCACAAGATGTGTGGGAGTTCATCGAGGCCATCCCTAGAAAGAGCAAGCCCTAAACCCTAAACCCTAAACCCTAAACCCTAAACCCTAAACCCTAAACCCTAAACCCTAAACCCTAAACCCTAAACCCTAAGTGTCCCAAGTAAGCTTGGCATGCTGTAGCTGCGGCAGCCATACATGGAACTGTCTAGGGGAGGGGGCTTTACGAAAATAGGGGTACCTATTTTGGGGGCTCCTATGTAATAAGGATTATACTACTTGGGGGTGTATTAAGGCTACCCCTATTTCGGGAAATGCCCATACGGGCCTGGACTCCCAGATTGCGAGCCTGGCTCAGCAACAACCAACCCCTCAAAGCCCCTCCAAGGAGGCAGAGGACGGTTCAATAGCCCTGACTTCACGCACGACCACACTTGCCTCTAGGTTCTCAACCCCTGAGCCCTGCACACGTTAGGGTTTAGGGGTTTAGGGTTTAGGGTTTAGGGTTTCGGGTTTCGGGTTTCGGGTTTCGGGTTTCGGGTTTCGGGTTGCAAAATTAGCCCCTTCACCCTGCACCCATCGGCTGCCCTAGAGTCTTTAGAACAGAAACAACTGGAAGGCCAACGCGCAGCGCCTGGATGAAGCCATCGACTACACTCGCGACACCTGTCTCCTGCAGTGGTCATCGAGGGTAAGATGCTTTAAGGGTGTAGAGTTTTTTGGGGGGGAGTGGGTCATCTGAAGATCTTGGGTTTAGGGTTTAGGGTTTAGGGTTCTTGGGATTCAGGCGCCGTGGTTTGAGGAAAAGGAGTCCATGCTTTGAAGGGTGTCGAAGGGTATCGAGGAGTCTGTGGCCAAGTCAGCGGTTTCTTCGGCGGTCCGTGCAACTCCAAGGCACTACGAAACAATGATCGCTTTCTTTTGCACACTTTTGCACGAGCACAACCGAGGACTTGGGCTACGACTACTTTGGCTTCAAGACACTGGAGAAGTCCTACCTGCTGCGGGTGCATGGTATCTAAGCTCCCGTGTACTATCCTGTAATACAGGGGTCGGACTAACAGTATTCCCTTATGGTCCCTTTATATGTATACTATACTCACCCCCAAACCCTATTATAATCAGGCCCTGTATTACCCTCACTCTTTTTGTTTTCTGGTTCTTTCGCTTCACCATCGAAAGATTGCAATCGTGTACTTGGTTGTTCTTGTACACGGGCCAAGGCAAAATTGTGGAGCGTCCACAGCACCTCATAATGCGCACGGCCTGTGGCATTCACATGGGTGATCTGGCAGCTGCCCTGGAAACATACGATCTGATATCCAGAAAGTACTTCACACATGCTTCGCCTACCCTCTTCAATGCCGGTACGCCGACGCCGCAAATGTCTTCATGCTTCCTCCTCAAGATGAAGGAGGACAGCATCGATGGTATCTACGACACATTGAAGCTGAGCTGGTGTAATGCTTGGGCCTTCTTCTGGGTCATGCATATGTTGAGTGCTTCAGGGTTGTCGACCGTTTCCAAGCAGCCGAGGAAGCAGTGCGCCCTTATCTCCAAGTCCGCGGGCGGTATTGGAGTGGCGATCTCCAATGTGAGGGCGAGCGGTTCGTACATTCGTGGAACCAATGGTTACAGCAACGGCTTCTTGGATCGTCTTCAAAGGGCTTCGGCGCACTTTTGGGGTTAAGGGTTGCATCACAGCTCATGCTTGCAACTCAACGGCAATCATGAGCACCACCACGAGGGTAGCAGCACTGAATATAAGGGTCGGAACAATTCCTAACCATGTGCCCTTATGGTCTTTTTGTAATCATACGATAATAACCCCCCCGAAAACCCTATTCTAATTAATCAGGCCCCTGTATTCAGCAGCCCACACAAGCATGGAGCTGGCAGCGACCGAACAAACAGCGACCGAGCAGCCGCTGCCACAGCAGCAGCACCACCAGCAGCGCCACCATCAGAAAGGATTCGTTCTGCCCAAGTGCAATGGCTAAGCCGCGTATACATATATATATATATGTACAATGTTATAATTACTTTCTTTAAGATCGTATGTCATCTTATATTGCATCATAATACTCTATATATATATATATATCTATATATACATATATATATATATCTATATATATATATATAGGACGGCAGAAAGAAAGACCACCCAAGGTTTGGTCCCGCTGCTCAAGAGCCTCGGACCTGCAATCGGGGCGTTGGAGTTCGGAGTTGAACCTCTCGACGTGCCCCCCCCCCCGCCATCCTCCCTGGATCCTAAACCCTAAACCCTAAACCCTAAACCCTAAACCCTAAACCCTAAACCCTAAACCCTAGCGTCTTATGGTACCTTCTTAGGTGCAATGAGGCTAAATCTGACAGGTTGGGCATCTGACCTCCTGTGACATCCCGAGTCCCTGCTTCTGCATGGTTGGGTCAGGGTTCAGGGTTCAGGGTTCAGGGTTCAGGGTTCATGATTCAGGGTTCAGGGTTTAGGGTTTAGGGTTTAGGGTTTAGGCTTTAGGGTTTAGGGTTTAGGGTTTCGGGACTTAGTGTTTCGGCCTGATGGCTTGATGTCAGAGCCATCGTGCGGATTCCAAGGTTTTCTGGTACCCAACGGTTGTTTTGTAATCTGGTCTCGCGGAGTCTCGGGAGGACGGTTTCGGGCGGCCCGCAGAAGCGGCGCGTAGACCTGTGCAAAACAGGGGTTTAGGGTTTAGGGTTTAGGGTTTAGGGTTTAGGGTTTAGGGTTTAGGGTTTAGGGTTTAGGGTTTAGGGTTTAGGGTACTCCATGCAATCAGTGCTTGTATGGCCTCATGTCCTCCTATTCTGCAGGTCTCAGAGCAAAAATACCCCCAAGCCCGAAGCCTAAACCCTAAACCCTAAACCCTAAACCCTAAACCCTAAACCCTAAACCCTAAACCCAAAACCCGAAGCCTAAAGCTTCTGCCTATCCTGACGGAGACTAAGACTTCACGCACTCCGACAGGCTGACAGATAGACCCTAAACCCACTAAACCCTAAACCTTTCAACCCTCAACCCAAAGCCAAACCCCGAACCCTAAACCCTTGTGATCCTAAACCCTAAACCCTAAACCCTCAACCCTCAACCCTCAACCCTAAACCCTAAACCCTAATCCTGAACCGCCCCCCCCCCCCCCCCCCATAGAACAAAGGAACTTCAACGAGACGGCGCGCTACGTGGACCAAGGGGGAGGTTCCCTGGCCCTGGTCTCAAAAAACTGTAAGCCCCCTAAACCCGAAACCCTAAACCCTAGACCCTAAACCCTAAACCCTAGACCCTAAACCTCCCCCGATTCTCAGATGCATTGTTTCAGGATGGCTCGAAAGTTCGAACTTCTGGAAGTCTCGGGACCAGAAGCCCTTTAAGCCCTCTGAAACTCCACAACGACATGAGACCCTTAAACTCTCAAAGCCCTTAAGCCCTTAAGACCCATTAAACCCTTAAAGCCTCTTAAACCCTTAAATCCTCCTTCAGCCCGACAGGCCTTTAAGACACACATATAGGGTTTAGGGTTTGGGGTTTAGGGTTTAGGGTTTAGGGTTTAGGGTTTAGGGTGCATTTCAATTGCTCGCCCTTGTTGTGTTGGGGGTTGCGGTTCTTTTACGGCAAATGCGCCAGCCAGAGTGTCCAGGAGGGGTAGAGTTACTGCCCTCGAAACCCCGAACTGCAAAACACTTCATCAACCGACGTTCCTCAGAAAAAAAAAGGGTTTGGGGTTCAGGGTTTAGGGTTTAGGGTTTAGGAACTCCACGCCCGGCAAATGGTACGCTCACTCCTCCTCCCCTCCCCCCCCCCCCCCCCCCCCCCTACTTTGACGGTTAGGATTTGAGTTACAACCTGGTTGGGGACGCAGGTGTGCACGGTTTTTCTCGTTACCTGCTACGATTTCAGAACCCTAAGCCCTACGAAACCCTCAACCCTAAACACTCTCCTAACCCTACTCCTAACCCTAAGCCCTAAATCCTAGACCCTTCTAACCCTCAACCCTAAATCCTAAACCCCAAACCCTAAACCCCAAACCCCAAACCCCAAGCCCTAAACCCTAAACCCTAAACCCTAAACCCTAAGCCCAGAAAGGCAAGCGCAAGGGCTCCTTCGCCATGTACCTGGAACCCTGGCATGCTGATGTCTTCGACTTCCTCGAGCTTCGGAAGATCCTCGGTGCAACGCCTAGGGTTTAGGGTTTAGGGTTTCGGGCTTAGGGTTTGGGATGTGGGGTTAGGGGTTAGGGGTTCAGGGTTTATACCCCCGTGGTTCATGGGGGGTTTTGGGTTCCCCCCCCCCCCCCCCCCCGCTTAGGGCCGAAGATTGAGGGCTTAAGGTTGAGGGAGTAATATAGGGTCGGAATATGCACTAATGGTGTTCCCTTATGGTTCCTATATATTTCGGCGATAATGACCCCCCAACAAACTAGTCTAGAGGTTTGCGCCACCCTGGGTGGTTGCTCAGTTTTGCCGTTTAACCGCAGCTATTCGCCCTCCCCCTTTCATGACTGCTCTCTTCGCCACGTTTTCTTATTCATTTGCAAGCTGATAATAGTGCATAAAAGATATACGGTCGTGAAAAGGGCCCAACCACCCCAGAATAAGCGACCACCTTCTCGAGACTGTACTAAAAACCCTGTATTCTCCTTGCTAGTTTTTTTCATTGTCACACCCTTCGCCTTTCAGGACCGTATTTAGGGGTCTTACTCTGGGTGATGAAGCTCGTTTCCTTGACGACCAACCTCCTGACTCAGTATTTCACCCGGGTCAATTGGCAATCAAGGATTTATTGGGTTTAGGGTTTAGGGTTTATAGGGCTTGGGGGATTCATGAATTTCTCTGTTTCACTTCTTTCATTGCAGTAGACTCAGTCATGCCACCTTCATGTTCAGCCCTGTGAATCATCAACGTCACTCAACGGCCCGAGCTTTGGAGGGTTAGGGTTTAAGTTTTAGGGTTTAGGGCTTAGGATTTAGGGTTTAGGGTTTAAGGGTTTAGGGGTTTAGGGGTTTAGGGTTTAGGGTTTAGGCTTTAGGCTTTAGGCTTTAGGCTTTAGGCTTTAGGCTTTAGGCTTTAGGGTTTAGGGTTTAGGGTTTAGGGTTATATGACATGACTAGACTCGGCTGAAAACTGGCACCTGTTCTTTAATGAGGCTCCCCTTTTGCTCTTTCTATACAGCCGGGCTTCTTTTGAAAGACTACCTATACGGCCAAAACGGCGGCCCGCGGTTTAGGGTTTACGGTTCAGGTTTCGGGTTTATGGCCCCAAAACTACCAATTCTCCAGGAACCACGGGAAGGAGGAGCAGCGTGCCCGCGATCTCTTCTACGGCCTGTGGATTCCGGATCTGTTCATGCAGCGTGTCAAGGAGAGACTTCCGCCCCATAAGGGTTTAGGTTTTCGGGCTGCGGGTTTAGGGTTTAGGGTTTAGGGTTTAGGGTTTAGGGTTTAGGGTTTAGGGTTTAGGGTATCGGTTTAGTGTTTAGGGTTCAAGGAGAGACTGCCCCCCCCCCCCCCCCCCACAAGACGAGAAATAGCCAAACTTCTTACCCCAAACACTGAACCGGACACTTCATCTACACGCTATCATGGGCCCTTAACATGAAGACCTGAAGGTCCAATATAGTCCCTGAAGGTCCCATAACAAATGTTTGTTGGCTTAGGGTCCCGGAAGGTCCCATGTAAACGCTATTATACACCCTTAACCCCAAAAACCTTTAAGGTCCAACCGAGCCAAAGAAGAAGGAATCAGCTGCAAAAACCCCTGACAGTCGAAGCTGTGGGCACCCCGAAGCTGTAGGCACGCCCCCCCCCCCCCCCCCTTTTTCCCAAACCTTTGACTGGATTCTTGTTAAGGAACTTACATGAAGTGACAAAAGGAGAGCCATAGCCCTTTGCTATGGAGAAAACTTACACTGGAAACTTGTTTCCGGGTTCCTTCCCGAAGCCCCGAAGCGCCACCAAGATGAGGGTTTAGGGGTAGTCCAGCCTTTAGGGGTTTGGGGATTTAGGGTTTTAGGGGTTAGGGTTTAGAGTTTAGGGGAGGGGGTTCGGGTTTAGGGTTTTGGGTTTAGAGTTTAGGGCTTCGGAGAGTGCCCTGGAATAAATAGACTTTACTGTTAATGGCGCGTGTAATTACAGTAAAATCAATACTAGTAGCGCGGGCATTTTTTCCTTTTCTTGCCGGCGCCCGCGTGAACAGATAACAACCCAGAATTATTCCTATTAACATTCACTTGATAATTCTCTTATCTCGCCCTCGTTGGTTCATTGCACGCATCGTTCACTGTGTTCTTTCGTTCTCTCCTTGTCAATGCACTTAGCAGGCTAGTAAAAATGTCCTCACGGGTTGGTTCTCTATTCGTACTTCCATCAACAGTCAATGAACACCAGCGTCTTTTGCTTCGTTCATTCGCTTATTATTTTACTTCCTTCGTAAACTCGCTTGTAAGACTAATTCGCCCACTCCCGAAAAACCTACACCCACGCGCCATGGCGGCCGCAAGTAGGTGATGTACGTGTGCGTGTGTGGAATGTAGAAAGGAAGTCCGCCAGCAAGCAAGTGTGGCTGGAATACAGCTATAAACCCTAAACCCTGTACCAGTTTCACAGGACAACGAGAACTGGACGCTCTTCTGCCCCAACGAGGCCTACGACAAGGAGACTGGCAAGGGCTTGATGGATGTCCCTGGGCCGGTAGCGTCAACGGTAGTTTTTTTGAGTTAGGTGTAGTTTAGGGCCTGCCTCCGGCCTCGGAAGACTGACGGCCGAGGCTGTAGTCAACAGTATCAATAAGTTATTGTAAAATAGATGGTTGAATAGTTATCTCGTGTTCCAAAACTATATACTCATATATACTTGGAATATATACACACACACATATAAATATGCATATCGAATTGGTTTTGTGTTTCATGGTTTTTGGATGCCGCTCGCCTTTTTCAGCATCTCCGCTGCTTGAAGTTGAGGTCCACCCTGAACCCTGAATCCTAAACCCTAAACACTAAGACACGAAACCCGGAACCCAACCCTAAACCCTAAACCCTAAACCCTAACTAAACCCTAAACCCTAAACCTTAAACCTTAAACCCTTACCTTAAATCCTAAATCCTGAATCCCAACACCTGAGACTCCGAGGTCTGGGGGGACGAGTTCGAGGCCATGTACACCCGCTTTGAGGCCGAAGGTAAGGGGCGCAAGACCGTGAAGGCCCAGCATCTGTGGCTCAGCCTCGATGGGGTTTAGGGTTTAGCGTTTAGGGTTTAGGGTGTAGGGTTTAGGGTTTAGGGTTTAGGGTTTAGGGTGTAGGGCGTGGTTCTGCGAGTTGTTGTGCTTCGTTTGTAATCGGGGCTTTGCAAGCCCTAAACTCCCCGTGTCACAACAGAGACGGAGGGCGGGCGGCCACAAGAGCCTAAACCCTAAACCCTAAACCCTAAGTCCTAAACCCTAAACCCTAAACCCTAAACCCTAAACCCTAAACCCTAAACCCTAAACCCTAGGTGGTTTCGCATCCTCGAGTCCCAGATGGAGACGGGCACACCCTACATGCTCTACAAGGATCAGGCGAACCGGAAGTCGAACCTCTGAGGATCTACCTAGGGTTTAGGGTTTAGGGTTTAGGGTTTAGGGTTTGGGGTTTGGGGTTTGGGGTTTGGGGTTGGGGGTTGGGGGTTGGGGGTTTGGTAGGGTTTGCGGTGCAGGGTGTAGGGTTCAGAGTTTGGTGTCGAACCTCTAAGGGTCTACTAGGGTTTAGGCATCGTCACTTTAAACCCTGAAACCCTGAAACCTTGAAACCTTGAAACCCTGAAACCCTAAACCCTAAATCCCTGGGCCCTAAGCTGATTCTGGCAGACCCAGGAACCAACAGAACCTGGGCACAATCCATTGCCCTAAACCCTACAACCCTAAACCATGCGGTTTAGGGTTTAGGGTTAAGGGTTTAGGGCTTAGGGCTTAGGGCTTAGGCCCCTAACCCCCAAGGAACCAACAGAACCTCGGCACCATCCATTGCTCCAACCTCTGCACGGAGATCATCGAGCACCTTGGAGTTTCGAATCTGGCGCTCTGTAGGGTTTAGGGGTTTAGGGGTTTAGGGGTTTAGGGGTTTAGGGGTTTAGGGGTTAGGGGTTTAGGGGTTTAGGGGTTTAGGGGTTTAGGGGTTTAGGGGTTTAGGGGTTTAGGGGTTTAGGGGTTTAGGGGTTTAGGGGCTTTGGGGTTTTGGGGGTTTTGGGGTTTTGGGGTTTAGGGGTTTAGGGGGTTAGGGGGTTTTGGGGGTACACTCGTTAGGGCTTTTGGGTCTTGACGCTTCAGAAAACGGACTGCAATCAGCTTCAGGAATGTGCTCTAGTCCATGAAGCCGGCCCCCGAAGAACTTCTGCGGGATTGCTACTACTTTCCTAAGAACCCCCAAGAAATGCAAGGTCAGAATCCCTGTAACTATCGTTGTCAGGAAGACGCTGTTTGTTGTAATATTGAAATACAAGGCAAGAATCCCTGTATTCTCCTTCTCAGGAAGACGTTGTTTGTTTAATATTTGCATGATTCTTAAGCAACTAGTAGATTTAGGGGTCCTTGGGCCAGGTAGAGGATACTTGGGTGGAGGGCTCTAGGGCTTAGGGTTTCGGGCTCCGGTTCTCTGAAGTACACTCCTTAATTTGGGCTCCTTCGTTGCTTAGCCTTGGAACTTATGAGAAATCGTAGCTCAGAAACAACTTCCCATTTGTGGTTCCGTGCCGCGCGTCGGCCGCCTCCCCCCCCCAGAAAGGGTCTGGGGTTTGGGGTTTAGGGTTTGGGGTTTAGGGTTTAGGGTTTAGGATTTAGGGTTTAGGGTTTAGGGTTTAGGGTTTGGGGTGATAAGTCGAAAAACAACAGATCTGACGCGCATAGGGCTTTGGTATCATGTCCGGGACTCCCTGTATTGAGAATGATTCCCGCGGACCTCATAAGGGGGAATGACCCTTAACTTCAACAACATGCTTTGGGATGTTCCCACTTATACTAACAGTCCTGAACAGGATTATAGTACCCCCTCAATTGTAATCCCTATTGAGGACTGTTTTTGTATAAGGGGAGCAAACAAGCCCAAAACCCAAATAGACCCTAAACACTCAACTAAACCCTATGCTGGGTTTGAAGCCTTTGCCACCATTGTGCTAGGTACACCGCCCCGGACGAGGCGGGAGGGTTGTACCCGAAGGTTCTAGTTTTCCCTGGTCTGAAAGCACACCCGAAAAAACTCGAAAGAACACCCTAAATCTTCAAGCCCCCGGCTCAGAAGCTGCGATTCTGGGGCATCTTGAGCGCTCAAAAGACCACGGGGTCTTTCAATGGCATTTAGGGTTTAGGGTCTAGGCTCTAGGGTTTAGGGTGTAATATTTTCGGCTCCTACAGTCCACTTAGACGTCTACCAGTATCGTGGACAGCCAGCACGTTTCAAGACTCGAGCAGGCGCCCAAGCCCCTAAGCCAAAGTTTCCCTCAGCCCCAATGACTACTGGACCCTAAGCCCTAAGCACTTTGTTGATTTTTTTGTAAACTGATCTTTCCATGTGCCACTTGAGACAATGCAGTATCACATGGTTGTTTATGAAATCACTTGACATTGCATTATATCTTTGATTGTTTTATTGATGAGATACTACGTCATTAGAAGCATATGATTTGTACAATATTTTTCAAATAAACTCTAGGAGTTTATCTTCCTACACCCCCTAACTCGCAAACCCTAAGCCACAAACCCTAAGACCCTAACACCCTAGACCCTAAAACTTGGGATGTTCCGCCTTATACTAGCAGTCCTCAATAGGGATCGTAATTGGGTACTATAATCCCTATCAAGGTCTGTTAGTATAAGGGGGAACATCCCAACCCTGAACCCCAAAACCCAACCAAAACCCAAAAGGTCGCCGTTTGCAATCTGGCCTCCATTTCCCTGCCGGCCTTTGTTCGCAACGAGGGTGCCTCGCTCTACAGCGGTAGGAGGAGGGTGTCAAGGGTTGAGGGTGTTCTGGGCCCAAAGGCTGTCCTGCACCCTAAACCCTACCCCCCAAACCCCGTAAACTCCAAAACCCGAAACCTTTCAGGGTGTGGGGGGGAGTGGCATTGGGAGTCTATACCTCGGCATCTTATGAGGTTCTGTTGTTGGTCAATGGTGGCGGGCTGCCGACAATTAGGGGTACCCTCTTTGGCGTATTTCAGGGGACTATAAAGTGTATCCATATTTTGGGACCTGCTGTGTAGTTGCGTGGTTTTGGATTCTCTGGGGGCCCGGGGAGATTGAGAAGTACCTACGTAGGACCTGACCTTTGTGTCTTGTGCTGTTGTCAAGATGCGAAGACGCATGATCTTGGTCAGTGATTTCTCTTTCCGCAGATGTCATGCTGAGCAGCCACTCGTGTATAGGACTTGAAAACCGCCAGATGCTGAACAGTGACTTGGGGAACCGGAGTGGCAGTATAGGTAGGGTTTAGGGTTGAGGGTTTAGGGTTTAGGGTTGAGGGTTTAGGGTTTAGGGTTGAGGATTGAGGGTTTAGGGTTTAGGGTTTAGGGTTTGGTCTAGACTTAAATTCACGGAGCTCAGGTGCGAGCTACGACTTCCAAGAGCTCTATCAGGCATGAGAAGCACACGTTTTGAGGGTCTTCATAGCCCCAAGTGGTTCGGGGTGAGAGATGTACCCTAACCCCTAAACCCCGAAACCCCTAAACCCCTAAACCCCCAAACCCCTAAACCCCCAAACCCCCAAACCCCTAAACCCCTAAACACCTAATCCCCTAAACCCTAGTTCTAAGGGTAGGTACATGGTCCCTTCATCTGGCCCCTTCACCCTCCTTAAAGGGCTCTGAATTATGGGCCAGTGGGCTTGATGGGGTATATAAGGGGTCCCCGTAAGGGCACACGGTTTTGGGTTTAGGGTTTAGGGTTTAGGGTTTAGGGTTTAGGGTTTAGGGTTTAGGGTTTAGGGTTTAGGGTTTAGGGTTTAGGGTTTCATGTACTTACGCTTACAGAGGCGTTCAGGGCATTGGGTTCGGGAGTTCAACACCTTGCGCTTGCAGAGAGCATGTGGAAGTACATTAAGGGCAACCCTGATGGAAGGGTCGGAATATTTTCCTGGTGGTTTTCCCTTCGGGTTTCCTACAGCACATAATACTACTAGAAGCACCCCCCCAAAACCTTATTCTACTTTTAAGGACCCTATTTACGCGGCCTCGAGTCCAACAGGGCTCTCTACAAAGAGGCGGTTCAAAGTCTTCTGGGAGCTTTCTCTGCATTGGCATGAAGTGTCCGAAGGTTCTTGTGTAGGGCCCCTGAACACACCTCGAGGTTTTTTCAACTGGGCGTTCCTGTAGTGGTGCTGGCCCCAGCCCAAGCGTGCCAGGTCACAAAGGTCGTGACGCGGAACCTGAACAAGGTCATCGACAGGACCTTCAGGGCGTGTCACGTGGTACCTTCGAGTAGAGAAGTTCCGATTTTTTGGGGGAAACCTTTTTAGCACATGTCAGGATCGAGGGTTTCCCTCGAACACACTTTCAAGTATGTTTAAAATCCCAAACCCCATGATATGTGAGCCTCTTAGGGCATTCCCCAGTTTCCTTCAGGGTGGTCAGTGGGCTTTAAGCCTGGAGCCTAAAGCTCACGAGAGCTCCCTGCAAACCAAATTCACGCATCAAGAGTGCTTGCTAATGTATACGCATGGGTTCCGTGTTATATATATATGTACATATATATATATATCCATATATATATATATATATCTGTTATTGACCGATTAGTTTTGGATTTCTGTTGTTTGTTGTATTCATAACATGTGCATATGTATATATATATATATATATATTTATTTATTTATTTATTTATAATATGTGTATATATACATGTGATTGTACATGTGTTTTCCCTCCCCTTGCAAGAACAACATTCTGGATACTCTGTGCTCTTTGGGAGTCCCTTCTTAAACAACATCTCATGTGACCCTTAGCGCTTGCAAAGCCCTTGTAAGCCCTTATGCTACCCTGAACCACCTCAACCCTCATGAACCGTCAATCTTGCACTGAACCCTAAACCCTACGCCCTACGCCCTAAGCCCTAAACCCTAAACCCTAAACCCTAAACCCTAAACCCTAAACCCTAAACCCCAATCTAACCCCCCAGATACCCACCCTACGGGCGCCAGGAACTACTACCCGGTTCCCGAGGCTCGCAAGTCCAACTTCCGCCATCGACCGGTGGGCGCCGCGATTGCACTTTTATTTAGGGTTTAGGGTTTAGGGTTTAGGGTTTAGGGTTTAGGGTTTAGGGTTTAGGGTTTGGGGTTTAGGGTTTAGGGTTTGGGGTTTGGGGTTTAGGGTTTAGGGTTTAGGGTTTAGGGTTTAGGCTTGTCAGCCCATGCCGGTCGCACCACACCAGGCTCTTCAGTTTGGGCTTCAGGGGCTTAGGTTGTACAGGATGTTCCGGTCGAGGTTTTCACTGTTTAGGGTTCAGGGTTTAGGGTTTAGGGTTTAGGGGTTTAGGGGTTTCGGGTTTCGGGTTTTGGGTTTTGGGTTTAGGGACCTTGGCGCGGGTTTCATCGGCTTTTCTCCTATAACCCCCTGAACTCCAACACCGGTTCAAGGTTATAGGGTTCTCAAGGGGGAGGGAGGTTCATGGTGGTAGGTACCTAGGGAACTTCAGGGAAGCTGGGGCAGTGTTAGGGAGCAGCGGGGAAGATTAGAGAACCTTGAGATACATCCCTTCCTTGAACTCCCCTAAACCCTAAACCCTACACCCTAAATCCTAAACCACAAGGTTTGGGCGTGCAGGGCCTCGCCGATGCCTTTCTGATGATGTGGCTCGGACGACATTGGGCTGTTAGAGGCTAAACCGTGTAAATTGGGATGTCCCCCCGCTTATACTAACAGTCCCTGGTAGGGAATTCTGATCGGGGGTACTCTAATCTCTATTGACCCTAAACCCTAAACCCTACACCCTAAACCCTAAACCCTGGAGCGGGGGAACATCCCAACCTATAAGTCCTCAGACATCTACACCATGCACCCTATAAACCCTAAACCCTAAACCCTAAACCCCAAACCCTAAACCCTAAAAACCCTAAACCCTAAACTCCCGAAGCCCCTGGGCTCTGACAGGAAGCTTCCTTTCGAGAGCGAGGAAGCCAGGGTATTGAACGAGGACCCGTGATGCAAGGTCAAGGTTGCTTCAGCTAGCTCCTGGCTTGCCTGTTGGAGCTTTAGGCTTGAGGGCTCAGGTTTGAACAGTTTAAGGGTTTAGGGCTTAGGGGTTTAGGGGTTTAGGGGTTTAGGCGTTTAGGGGTTTAGGGGTTTAGGGTTTAGGGTTTAGGGTTTAGGGAGTTTAAGGAGTTTAAGGGTTCAGGGCGTTAAGGGCTGGGAGTTCTGGGCTTTTAGCCATGCCGTGTCTGGGGGTGAGTGCTGTTGCGCATGCTGTCCCAAGTGCGCGCGTCCGTCTCCAACACGCGCGAGTGTGAAGTGCGCCCCTTGAGGCATCAGGCAATTTTGCACGCAGCACGCAACTCGAGGCAGCATTCAGCAGCAGCCACTGAGTTTCTACTTGAAATTCTAAATACCTCCACAGTGAATCTGGAACACCAAAGGGTGACTTCACTCTGCATGCTGTCTGGGGGTGGGTGCTGCATGAATTTGCGCATGCTGTCTCAAGTGCGCGCATCCGCCTCCTGCACGCACGAGTGTGAGATGTGCCCTGTGAAGCAGCACGCAATTATTCATGCAGCATGCAACTCGAGGCAGCATGGCTAGGGAGGCTTTAGATTAAAGGGTTAGGATTCAGGATTGGAAAAGTCGAAGGGTTTCGGGTTGTAGGGGGGGTGGGGTTTTAGGGCTCTAAGGGGTTTTTAAGGTCCAGAGTCTTGTAGGTTAGGGTTTAGGGTTTTATTGTTTTCCGGTTTTAGGGTTTTTTGGTGGGCGGGGTTTTACGGTTCAGGATTTTTGGGTTGCAAATCTTGGGGTTTAGGGTCTGGGGTTTTTGGGCTTTTAAGGGTGCTGGGTTTGAAGGCTTGGGTTTTAGGATTCTTGTTAGGTTTTGGGTATAGGGTTTTAAGGGTTGAGGGTCCCGGAAACGCGTAAAGATGTGCAGGACATCTTCGAGACTATCTACTTCGCTGCCTGCGAGGCGCTGCAGAAAATAGACCCTACCTGTGGTCGGGAAGTGAGGATGTGACTGCAGGAACGCCCCGTTTTTGTAAACCCTGAACCCTAAACCCTGAACCCTAAACCCTGAAACCTAAACCCTAAACCCTAGTCTCGAATGGAGGCCTCATGCGAGCTGGCTGAGCTTTCTGGGCCCTATGAGACCTTCGAGGGCAGTCCCGCCAGCCAAGGCTGGTTGTCTTCGGATCTACGTGGGTTTAGGGTTTAGGGTTCAGGGTTCAGGGTTCAGGGTGCAGGGTTCAGGGTTCAGGGTTCAGGGTGTAGGGTTTAGGGTTTAGGGTTTAGGGCTTACTTGGGGTTTAGGGTTTAGGGTACTTGAAGGTTCATGGGTACTTATAAACAGGGTTTTAAGTCCCCAAATCAGGTTATAGCCATAGTTACCTTACTTGTAAGCCTACTTATACGGGTTTTTTTGGGTTTATACTTTTTTATAGGGTTTAAAGTGTTTACAGGGCTTGTGGGGTTTATAGGATTCATAGGGTTTGTACGGTGTGTGTGGTTTATGGGGTCTTTAGGGCTGCTTTTGATTCGCGTTCTGTTACCCTGCAGCTTTTGGATGCCTCGCTGCTTCAAGGCCCAGGCCTCGTCGTTTAGTTGTATTGGGAGACCGCGCATACCATCAAGCCTCCTGAGAACACCAAAAGGGTCCCTGGATTCATTCAGAAGTTACGAACATTGGCACAAACCCTAAACCCTAAACCCTGAACCCTAAACCCTAAACCCTAAACCCTAAACCTTACATATAACTTAACAAAACATAAGGGCTGCAGCCCTGGCATCCGTCGTCCGGCGCATGACGAAGGGCGTAAACAATCCCTACTTGAAGGCTCATGGGTGCTTATAAGTAGGGATATACTTCCCCTGAGCCCTAAACCCTAAACCCTGAACCCTAAACCCTAAACCCTAACCCAGCTACCCGCCCCGCATCCTCCGCCAGGGCGACTCCAGTTCGACCTCTGGGCAAAGACACCCCGGAGTGGCAAGTGGGACTGGGACGCCTTAAAGGCTCCGGGGAGCTTCGGAATGTCGAGTCACAGGAGTAGGACGTATGATGTTCCCCCGTCTACGAGCAGCCGGTTTTCCCATAATCAAGTCTATTCAGGGCTACTTCAGCCTCATTAAGGTTATTTAGGGGGGGAATATAGGGGGGGGTAGTATAGAGGGCGGTATTGGGGAAACCCATGAAACACCCTCAAAGACTTTGACTCGCTGCCGAAAGGTCAAGATTGCGCGGCACGGGCTGCGAAACTCTCTCTTGGTGGCGCCTTGGGATCATGCTTGAGGCTCTAAGCCTACTATTACCTCAGGGCTATGGCAAAAGGTGTGTGTGTGTGTGAAGAAGTAGACATGCATATCTATTTGTGTATACATGTGTATACATGTATTCATGTACCCATGTACATGTTTCGTTTAGTATATGCGTATAGCGTGTGAGAGAGAGAGAGAGACAGAGAGAGAGACAGAGAGAGAGCGAGAGAGAGACCAGGACCCAACGTGCAGGCCAGAAACTCCACACCAAAGACGCGTGAGCTGCATTCTGAAAATCAGGGGTTGGCAGAGCCTAAACCCTAAACCCTAAACCCTAAACAGCCTGTGTTTAGGCACCGATGCCCACAGCTTCCACAGCTCAAATCCTGGGCAACAACGCGCCTCGCCCTGCAGATGTCCGCTGCTCGTTGTAGCAGAGCATGGTCCGGGGGTTTAGGGTTTACCCTAAACCCTAAACCCTGAACCCTAAACCCTAAACCCTAAACCCTTTAGGGTCTGAATCTTAAGATCAATGAGAAGAGCTCAAGTGCAGGAACAGGCTTATGAAGGGTAGCGCTGGCCGTTAAACATAAGAGTTTCCAATCGTCATTCTGCAACAAAACATAGTTATCAGCCGGATGCGACTTCGCAGCTGCAGCTCGCTCACGACGGGATGTGGGGTCAGTAGGGTGTGTTTTGCCACATCAAAATCATACGTCCGAAGCCCTAATAGCCCTTCTCCCTACCCCTCAGAAACCTGAAGTCGTCGGAGACAACTCTGGTTTGTGACAGCGACAGGCAGTAAGTTCAATTTTCAGGGTTCCGGGTTGAGTGCTTAGTGCTTAGAAGGTAGAAGTTTCCAAACTCACCTGCAAGAAGCGTCCGGAATTGTTGCTGTTGTTGTTATTTACAAAATTTACCTTATCTGCCTACGATACGTTGTTTATGTTATACACCCTGAACCACAGTTTTCAGGCACCGACGTAGACTAGTTCCGCAGGGGTGGTACACCTAAACATTTCGACCCTGGACTCACGTTTCTAGCACCCTAAACCCTAAATCCTAAATCCTAAACCCTAAGCCCTAAACCCTAAACCCGAAACCCTAAACCCTAAACCCTAAACCCTAAACCCTAAACCCTAAACCCTAAACCCTAAACCCTAAACCCTGCGGCCTCTTGAGGAGTCCTTTGAGCCATACACGCAGAACCTCTACGTGCGACGCGTCCTCTCCGGTGAGTTCGTGCAGGTCCTCTAGCCCTAAACCCCAAACACAGAATTTGTGAACCCTAAGCCCGAAACCCTAAACCCTAAACCGTAAATTTAGGAGCCTCCGGCTCAGGCCGCCGACCCAAGAGGCCCGAAACCTCTCAACCCTCAAACCAGGGTTCGGGGGTTTGAGGCCGTGTTGTGGAAATGGTGGGGTAGAGTCTTCGAACTGTTGGAGTGGTTGGCGTAAGGTTGCAACATAGGCAACCCCCCCGTGAAACCTCAACCCTAGTCCCTAAATCCCAAACCCCTAACCCTAACCCTACACCCTATACCCAGAACCCTAATCCCTCAAGAACCCTCAGTCCAGGTTTTGAGGCTCTGTGGGTCTAATGCTCTTGTCTTTAGGGTAGCCTTAGGGCATTGGGTTCGACCTTTGGGGCAGGTTTGGTTGGGCTGTAGGGTATAGGTTCGGGGTTTAGGGTTTAGGAAACGACTATATCTGCTTTGGGGTGTCATGAGCCTCGGGGGGGGGGGGGGGGGGGGGGGGGGAAGTTAGATAATGAGAGGTGGCAGTGTAAGAGGTTGTAGTTTTCCTGCGTGTCCTGCGAAATCTGGCACGATGTGCCGTGGTGCCTAAGCTAAGCTGCACCCCGAACACGAGACACGAGTCGAGTCGGTCAGGACAGTCTGGAGGGGCGGGCTGGTGTGGGGGGTGGGGTGGGGGGGGGGGTGGGGGGGGGGGTGGGGGGGGGGGGGGTGGAGGGGGGGGTGGGGGGGGGGGGTGTGGTTTTCATGAAAAATTTGTGCACCGACCCCCCACCCCCCACCCCCCCCCCCCCCCTCCCCCACGTTTTAAGGTTTTTGGGGGTGTAAGGGGGGGGAGGGGGAGGGTTCCCTCCCCCAAAACCATCCAACACACCGCCAGGGTTGGCGGACCCTAAGCCCCAGCCCTAACCCTAAACCCTAAGCCCTAAACCCTAAACCGTGAACCCTGAACCCTGAACCCTCGCCTTGGAACTCTAAAGGACTTGAAAGGTTTGGGATGTAAGAGTGCTGCTTCGGGAAGGACATGGTTCTTTGACTGCGGGTTTTTGGTAGCGTCATTGAGGGTTTAGGGTTTAGGGTTTAGGATGCTTTGTTCCCTCGTCAGAATCCCAAACCACAGAACTTCAGCCCTGAACCTCTATGGCCCGGCTTCTCGTTCCAGGTGAACCGACACTTGCTGAAGGACCTCATCGACCGAGGTCTCTGGAACGAGGTGGGGGGTTTAGGGTTTAGGGTTTAGGGTTTAGGGTTTAGGGTTTAGGGTTTAGGGGATCCATACTATTTGGGGGGGGGTTCTATCTTATGGGCCCCCGATGTTCGTAACCCGCAGGTGCGTCCCCAAGATGCCATGAACCGTTTCCTTGGTGTTCTTGGCATCCCACGAACTCCCAAGCACCATCAGCCAGGGCTCAGGGTTTAAGGGTTTAGGGTCTTAGGGTTTGAGGGTTTGAGGGTTTGAGGGTTTGAGGGTTTTAGGGGTTTAGGGTTTAGGGTTTAGGGTTTAGAGTCTTAGGGCAGCCGTAAACGCAGGACCCTCACTCAGCCCACGTACCATGTAGCAGAGGTTGGGCTTTGCAGGCCAAACATCCAGTCTCAGAAGGTGAAGTCAAAGGTTGTGGTCATGATCGTGCTTGGGGTTTAGGGTTTCGGGTAAATCTAGGGCTTAGGGTTTAGGGTTTGTAGGGTGAAGCGGATGAAAATCTCGTACGAAACCCCAAGCATCTTGACATTGGCTCTGGCTACGTTCATCCATCGCCTGGTCCCTCAACGGGAAACACCAGAAACCCTAAACCTTCAAGCCCTAAACCCCTAAATCAGAGAACCCTTAAACCCCTAACCCTAAACCCTAAAACTCTAGGACACGTGTTTTGCAACCGAGTCCTCTCATGTCCTCACCCTGTCGCAGGACCCACGCACGCCATCGATAGTCATGTCGGGGTTTCAGCATACGACTTCAGCATTGAGGGCAAGACCTCAACCCTAGACCAACAATCCCCACCATGCGCAGGAGATGCGCACGCAGCTGGTTGCGCAAAATGGCAGTGTGCAAAACTTGCCGCTGCCAGCAGACATCAAGGACTCCCTACTAGGAAGCTCCTAAACCCTAAACCCTGAAAGGTCAGTCGCCCCTGAAGATGCCCCCAAAGCTGGGGTGGAGGGAATCATCCAGGTTTTTTGCATAGCGAGAGTTGGAGATCTGTTGGGTTCATCTCTTTAGTGTACTCCATCCTGCTCTTGATTTCTTCAAGGAACTCCACCTGCAAAATGCCCCAGAGTCGCACCCCCGCCCAAGAAACTCTGCCCGGTTCTACGTGCCTGCCAGCTTATATGCGAGTTATACCGTTCTGCCTTCAACCTTCTTCAACGATAACAGCTACCGATGAAGTAGAGATCCCCGGTGCCGCCCCGGAACATGAGACCCCAAGGGAATGTGCAAGCTGTAAGACTCTGGGCTCTTCGGGAGACCCTCAAAAACGACTTCTTGTTTAAGAGCCCCCCAAGCAAAAATGTTCTTCCTTAGAAGGGCAATATGAAGGGTTATTGCCTTTTACTTCCTTAAAAGGGCAAGTATAGGGATTAGTATCTTGTACTTCTTCAGGGGTCCTAAGTCCCAAACCCCAAACCCCAAACCCCAAACTCCAAACCCCAAACCCCAAACCCCAAACCCCAAAACCCCAAGCCCCAAGCCCTAAGCCCTAAACCCTAAACCCTAAACCCTAAACCAGAAAACCAAGAGCCACGGCTGCAGCCGTAAGGAGCTCTACAAGACCGTGTGGGAGATCAAGCAGCGAAGGGTGTCGCCTAGATGAGCTTGGGTCAGCGGTTTAGGGTTTAGGGTTTAGGGTTTAGGGTTTAGGGTTTAGGGTTTAGGGTTTAGGGTTTAGGGTTTAGGGTTTAGGGTTTAGGGGTTGAACGGACTCGCGTCGGCAGGCCCTCGAGGCCAAGGGATTCAAGATGCGATTTCGGGGGTCGACCCCCCAACTGTCCCTGAACCCTTTACCCTAAACCCTAAACCCTAAACCGTAAAAGCCCTAAAGCCTAAACTCCCTAAGCCCCCAACGAAGACCGAAACCCTTCTACAAGCAAGGCTAGATTTGGCCGCTGACCGGGGAGCGTACATCGACCAGTCACAGTCACTGCCACCCGGCAGTAACTGGAGGGTGCCAACGCCAGATTAAGGGAACCCTAAACCCTAAACCCTAAACCCTAAACCCTAAACCCTAAACCCTAAACCCTAAACCCTAAACCCTAAACCCTAAACCCTAAACCTGACATGGGAAAGGAAATGTTCTCTTCCTGGGGCTCAAGAGGCTCTTCAACCCTAAGCCCTAAGCCGCTCTTATGTAGGAACATGTTTAAGGGCCAACCTTAAGAGAAGTCGGCAAGGAATGAGCCTCATGGTTAGGGCTTAGGGTTTAGGGTTTAGAGTCGAAGGGTTTAAGATTTAGGGTAGCTCCAAGCTGAAATGCCACACCCCCAAATCAAGGTACCCGAAGCCCTCATCCCTGGAGACCTGAAACCTCGCCCCCAAAGCCGGATTGTTTTCACAAGTAGCTGACAGCATGCGGACGTGGGTGCCTCGTTGGATGACTCTTCAGCTCACGTAAGCAGCGAGCCATTTCAACGCTAGCCGTTTCGGGGGGCGGGGGGGCTTCTATCCGAAGAGGAGAGCATGCAAGTGTCAAGCCCCCAGCACATCAAAGGAATATAGTCAAGTACTTTCAGAACTCCTGAAATAGTTGAAAAGGCATGCTCACAACACCCTAAACCCTACACCCTAAACCCTAAACCCCTACTAAGCCCAAAAGGCCACCCATTCTTGCATCTGCTGTAGGAATATTCACATGGTGGACGTGACGACTGCCAAGCTGTCGTCCATGCATTTCCATGGCTGGCATCTGGGGTTGAAGACGGGACTGCCCCTTAGTTGCGAAGAAGTTCGAGGGTGTAGGGTTTAGGGCTAGGGTTTAGGGTTTAGGGTTTAGGGTTTAGGGTTTAGGATTTAGAGTTTAGGGTTTAGGGTTTAGGGTTTAGGGTTTAGGGTTTAGGGTTTAGGGTTTAGGGTTTAGGGTTTAGGGTTTAGGGTTTAGGGTTTAGGGTTTAGGGTTTAGGGTTTAGGCCTCCATGTCGTGGCCTCAGCCCCCAAGCCCAAAAGGCCTCCCTAAACCTCCCCTCATGCTCCAGCACAAGCCCCAACAACCCCACGTCCAGAAGGGGCTTCAAATTGTAGGCAGCTTTTGTCTTAGAGGTACTTGGGAATAATTTTCAATTTTGCGCATTATCACTCCTAAGAAAGCTAAAACCAGGATTTTGCTAGGGTTCCAAGTTCAGTATAGTTGTGGGTGCCCTAGATACTGGACAAGATAATATCATGGCCCTGGTGTGCAGATGTCTCCTGGCAAAACGTCTCCTAAACCAGGGTTTAGGGTTTAGGATTTAGGATTTAGGATTTAGGGTTTAGGGTTTAGGGTTGGTTTAGGGTTGGTTTAGGGTTTAGGGTTTAGGGTTTAGGGTTTGGGGTTTAGGGTTTAGGGTTTAGGGGGGGGCGGGGGGGCGGGGGGGGGGGGGGGGGGGCGGGGGGGGGCGGCGGGGGGGGGGGGGGCGGGGGGGGGGGGGGGCGGGGGGGAGGGGAGCGGGGCGGGGGGCGGGGGGTGGGGGGGGGGTGTTTGGGGGAGATCCGAAATCCCGAGGTACTACCTGAGAACCAAGGCGGCAGCAGACGCCATCAAGTTCACAGTGGAGGTGTGTCAAAAACCCTAAAACCTAAACCCTAAACCCTAAACCCCCTTGGACATGGTGCATACGCGATCAAGTTTCATGGCACAGAATATCTCCTAGAAGCAACAGACGACATAACTTCAGCTGTCGTTCGGCTAGATCAATTGCATTGACTGTTGGCACAGTCTGTTTGTTACGTAAAAAAATAGCTGTATTGAAGAGTTTCTGTCAAGTGTGTATCATCATGTGTCAATGCACAAGCATGAACCACTTTGTTATGCTATGTTTCTTCGCATTGACGACCAAACAATACTTTCTTTGACACTTGCACTATAAATAATCCATGGTTTTGGGCTTGCATATCCAATTGGACCTCTCATATCAAGAATATATTCATGAATCGTGTTACAACCACTATTTATGGTTACAATGATGCTTATGTAATTCCTAAACCCGAAACCCTAAACCCTAAACCCTAAACCCTACTCCTTCGCAGGTGAGCCAGCTGAAAAAGTCCGCCGCCTCTGATTCAGATGCTTCCACGTCCCCGAGCCCGCCCAAGGATGCCGAGGCGGGTCGGGTTTAGGGTTTAGGGTTTAGGGTTTCGGGTTTCGGGTTTCGGGTTTCGGGTTTCGGGTTTCGGGTTTATATAAGGCCGGTTCATGGGTCAAGGTTCGGACGAAAAATACATGTCTCAAAAGGCCCCTTACATAAGTTATGGGTTTACGGTTCAAGGCCTGCTTGAAGGTTCATGGGTTCTTATAAGTAGCGTTATTCGGGTTATAGCCATCGTTACCCTACTGAAAACCCTACTTAGAAGTAATTCCATGAACCTCTAAGTGGGACATCCTAAACCCTAAACCCTAAACCCTAAACCCTAAACCCTGCACCCCAAAGGCTTGGGGTTTGTAGACGTTCGAGGGTGGCCTTCATTCTTGGTGACGTCGTTCACGTGAGGCGGTTAGGGGTTGTTGGGCGGTTGGACCTGAAGTATTCCGAACCGTTCGGGTTTAGGGTTTAGGGTATAGGGTTTAGGGTTTAGGGTGTCTCAATGAGTGGGCGCGCTGGTGCTGAAAGCACCCAGGCGCGCGCCCCGATTTGCATAAGCCCACCCCCGCTGGCGCTCCACCCTCGCCTTGACCTCTACGGGTTTAGGGTTCTTTTGAACTCTGATCGTGCTTTTGCTATTTTTCTCTTGTTTATTGGTTGGGTTTAGAAGCAAAAGTCAGAGGTTTGGGATTGGATTGGCTGCCGCCATCGCGCCTGAAGTCAAAGGGGTGGGATGGGCGGTTGCTGCTGCCTTCCCTTTCGCTGATGCTGCAGCTGGACCTTGTTGGAGTCGTGGTGGCCTTGTGAGTCTTTTTGAAAGTCAAAAACCCAAAGGTTTGGGCTTGGGGCTGGCTGCCGCCTTCGACCTTGGTGATGCTGCGTCCTGTTGATGATCTGGATCCCTAGCTTGAAAGGGCCAGGCACCTCAGGCCAAGGCCTGTTTTTCAGGCAGGGTTCAGGCAAAAGGTTTCCGGCAAGCAAATCCAGTCCCAGGCAGCAGCCTCCCAGCAAGTTTTTCTAAAACTTAAAAACCCGAAGGTTTGGGCTTGGGGCTGGCTGGATGCCTTGCAAAAATCCTCAGACCAAGGCCAGGGCCAGAGCCAGGGCCAGGGTCAGGGCTAGGGTGAGGGCCAGCAGGGGCAGGCAGCGCCTCCCAAGCAGGGGAGGGCCTCCCACAGCCCCGAGACCCAGGCAGGGGCCTCGCACTTCCCATGCCAGGCAGGCAGGCTTCCCTGGCAGGGGCCTCCAGGCAGGGCCTCCCAGACCAGCTCCCAAACAGGCCTCCCAGGCAGGGTGTCCCAGGCAGGTCCCAAGCAGGGCCCCAAACTCCCAAACAAAGCCTGAGCACCTCCCAGGCAGGGCCTCCCAGGCAGGGGCCTCCCAGGCAGGGGCCTCCCAGCAGTGGCCTCCCAGGCAGGGGCCTCCCAGCTCCCAGCCAGGGGCCCCAGACAGGGGCCTCCATACAAAAGTTGCCCAACCACACACAGAACTCCCTCCCAGCCAGGGCCTCCGGCTCTCAGGCAGGGGGCTCCCAGGTAAGGCCTCCAGGCAGGGGCCGGGCCTCCCAGGCAGGGGCAGGGCCTCCGGCAAGAGGTTGCGATGTTTTACCCGAAGGTTTGGGGTATCTCATTCTAGGGCGACCTGACGGGTTTCTCGCCAGCGACCTGCCGGGTCCACTGCGCAGCCCGCAGCTGCCTGCGGGACTGGAGCTCCGTCGCCCGCCGGAGGGCTTCTGGCTCCGGAGCTACCTCGCCGCCAGCTTCGGTGCGTTCGCCCTGCTCGACGGCCCCGGGCTCACTCAGTTTAGGGCTTTCGGGTAGAGAGTTTAGAGGATCCTGATTTTTCCCTGCAGCCTCAAAACCCGCAGCCAAGGCAAAAGCCATAGCGGCACTGAAGGCGGATGGGCCGAAGTATGAATGCGCGCCCCGGCCGAGCCTTATTTTAGGGTTTAGGGTTTAGGGTTTAGGGTTGAGGGTTGTGCAGGCTGCGTTGAAGAGCTTGGATGCTTCCCCCGCCTTTTGCAGCAACGAATAGTCGAAACCCCCTAAACCCCCCGATGCATCACTGTTGTGGGGGGCTATAGGGGTCGGACTTGATCCTGGGAACTTCCGGGTTGAGGGTTCAGGGTTTAGGGTTTAGGGCTTAGGGTTTAGGATTTAGGATTTAGGGTGTAGGGTGTAGGGTGTAGGGTTTAGGGTGTGGACAGTGCAGGACTCCTGGTCTTGAGTCGGTCGGCATTGCTCCTTGCACAGGGGCATGCGGAATGAGGGGTCGCTAATGACCCTAAACCCTAAACCCTAAACCCTAAACCCTAAACCCTAAACCCAGAAACCTAAACCCTAAACCCTAAACCCAGAAACCTACACCCTGAACAGGCTAAGCCCCGCGCAGGGCTTCGGGTGAACGAGTTGCATGGGTGCGGGAGGGAGGGAGGGTGCCCTCATCTCAAGCCTTTACCACATGAGACCCCTGAGCCCGCCCTGAACCCCTGATCTAAGTGTCCCTAAACCCTAAACCCTGAACCCCAAACCCCCCAAACCCGAAACCTAAACCCTAGGCTCCCTGAACACCCTCAGAGAGCCAGGTGAACTGCAGTGCCTGAGGCCGTTGGGAGCCACAAGGTGAACAAATTCGGTGCAACTTGAGAACAGGGCCGCGCTCGTCCGAAGCCGTGATCTTCAAAGAGCCCAGTGCTGAGGCTGTATATAATGGGGCACGCCGGTTAAACCCCAATAACCCGAAACCCTTTAAGCCCTAAACCGCACAACCCTACAACCCTAAACCCTAAACCTTAAACCCTTTGTTTACATAACAAAAGGACACAGCCCTAACCTAGATGTGCGGGACTGAAGAAGGTGTTTTTTCCTGTGCCCCGAGTCCAAAACCCCGCCCAGAAGACAAGCATCTAGGGTGTAGGGTACGTGGGTTTTTAGGGTTTAGGGATTAGGGCATGTAGGTTTTTTTTGGTTTCATGGTATTTGGCTATTTAAGGTGTTTAGGATGTTTAAGCCATTTATTATAGGGAATTGTTTGTGTGTTTAGGGGAATTACTTAGGGTTTAGAGGGCCCAAAAAACTCGCAAACCCTCAACCCTCCAAACCCTAACTCCCTCCACAGTCGCCAACGAACCTCACAGCCTGGCAACCCGCAATCCTGATCCCCACCGCACCTCACTTGATCCAAAAGAGAGAACTTCATCCCAAACCCTACACCCTAAAACCCTGGCGAGACCTTCAAACCCTAAACCCTAAAGCCCCATGAACCGCCGAGGGGGCTTAGGGGCGCAGCTGTTTAATTTTGGGTTTCGGGGCTGAGTTTGTTGATGCCATGTTTGGGCTTCCTGTTTAAGGGAGTTAGGCTCTCTAACACAAAGAAGGGCGCCCGTTTAATTCGTAACACTTTTGGTTCATCCAAAAACCCGGTTATTGAATGACCTATCATGCCATACCAACTGATGTTTTTTATGTGTGTTCCCATCAAAACCCAAAACCCTAAAACCTAAGCCCTTGTTAAGCATAGACGGGCTAAGAGGTCCTTGAAACTTCGGAGGCTTTAGGTTTTTTTTTTTTTTTTTTTTTTTTTTGTAAGGCCTCTCGCATCCTGTCTTCAGAGCCCCAAACCCCGTTAAGGCACCCAACCTTTCGGGCTTAGGGTCTAGGGTAGGGTTTAGGATTTGGGGTTTAGGTTTCGG